CTCTCACAGGCTCCGCCCTCTACTGAACTCTATGGGTACTACCTTATCATGCAAGCATTCACCTACTGAGATTTCTATAGACGAAGCCGGCCCCGGGGCAGGCCTACCTGAATGCGTGCACAAGCCCACCGTATATAAGGCGGCCACGCCTCCCGTTCCCGTCATCCTTTTCTCTTCAGCGAGCGAGCAACAACTGAAGCAGAGAAAGTAAGACGTTTGAAGAAGAAAGAGTCTCTAATCGCCACTTCTAGAGACCCGGGCCTGTCCTTCGTGCCCTGGCTTAAATGGCGGGCGCCGTTCCCCACCACCTCTGCTTCGAGTGTTTGGGGGACCAGGATATGGCCGAGGCGGTGCCATTCATGTATGGAAAGCCCAAAGTGCCATAATACACGCGTATATTTCGCCCGTTTTTTTTTGTAAAAACGGTCGTATATACGCGCGAATCTCCGCGAAAATACTGGCGAATATACGCACGTATTATGGCACTTTTGGCTTTCCATATTCACGTTCGCCATCCCAGCGGGACGGATGGCTCCGTTTGCCGTTGTCGGGCCCTTCCGCCTTATATATGGTGGGCTTGTGCACGCATTCAGGTAGGCCCGCCACGGGGCCGGCTACGTCTATAGAAATCTCAGTAGGTGAATGCTTGCATGATAAGGTAGTACCCATAGAGTCCAGTAGAGGGCGGAGCCTGTGTTTATATAACAAGGGTTACCATACGTAACCCCTTGTTACGGGGCACAATGCATAGACAGTGCTCTAAGTAATTCTAACTGACAACTATCCCATTGCCTGGGCTTATGACAGAGCATCATATGTATGGATATGTGAGCTGTATATCAATGAGATTTGGTGCTACACTGTATGAATAGATCATTACATGGATCTCCAGTACACTGTTCAATCTGCTGTATCCCAATGCTGCTTTGAGTCTCAGTAAACACACATACCATTGGGGAAATGCTATACTACGCAGCAGGCACTTGCACACATAGACATCAAAGTGGGCTTGAGCCCCTGCCCTTTTTCTTCCTCCAGAGAAAGTGCCCTTTTTCCCCCTTTTTTTATTTTTTATAAATGAATATATATCTACTGCTGTTTGCGCACAGTTTCCCTTTCCAAAAATATATTGATTGAATACAAAATATCAGGTTGGGAGATTAGACTGTGAAGTTCCGTAGCTCTCCCTCCCTCCCTCCCTCCACGTCTCCTGCACAGCGGTGCGGACATCGGCAGTCCCTTCAGACAGACAGGTAGCAGCACCTCCCACTTTACTCTCCCATGTTATGCCGGCTTTTCTTGGCTTATTTTGAAGGTGACTGGTGATGATGAACAAATTACTAAACTGCCAGTGCCTCAAGTTTACAGCTAATTAGCTAAAAGACAATAACAAATATAGTTAACTAAGGTAGGCTACTAGCTAATGGATAAGTTAGCTCAAGGTTTAGCTAAGACAATTTATCATGGGCATACAGGCTAATGTACTGTACTTAAGGGGAGACACTTAAAGTGAATACGGTTAAATCGTGTATCTAATAACGTCATCACAATCGCCACATTGATATGCAAATTAGGCTTTAACTAGGCCTAATTAAAATGCGCTAATTTGCATGCAGTTACCAAGGCATTGCAGGGGAAAAGGATAAAACTAAAAAACATATCACCTCACAACTTTCCCAGATAGTTACTTACGTCAAGTCAGTATTTTCCCCGGAAATGTTATGTTTAAAGATAGGGTATGTAAGTTTGAGAAACCGGCTCGAGATACACTTTTTGTTATATTCCATGGAATGCTCTTAACATCCCGATAGCAATGAATATCTTAAGTGCTTTGACAAAAAATCCATTAAAAAAATTCGACCAATCATTTTAGCCGGCCCGGCTAAAATAACTGGATGGCCTACCTGCCTGTCAGCCTTTCATCTGTGCACAAACTTATCTCGTGCCCTCATTGGTCATGTGCGCGTTCGTGTGTGTTGGAGGAGGGGCTCTGTAAGGAAGTGGCAGATTTTCTCCGGTCGTGTATTTTCTAATTCTAGCGATCTCGAGCCGGTTTCTCAAATTTACATTCCCCACCTTTAAATGCAGATTATCTTTAAATCTATAGATGAATTCAGACATGGTAGTAAAACGAACACCATTTATATGGGTTTTTTGGAAGTGCATACAGTGGTAATGTACTGTAAAACCGGAGGATTACTTTATAGAAACTTGATGATGAGGGAGGTTGATTTTAAAGGTGTCTTGAGAGCTGACTTAATGTTTCCGTTTATGGTATTAAAGCAAGCCATTACACCTGTGTGGTGACACTTTATCGACACTCAGTGATTAAAGTTTGCATGTCTTTTGATGTAAGGACATCTCATTAACAAATTAGTGACAATTGCGACTAATGGATACAATATAATTATCTCAATTTAAAAATAATTGATGAGATTTATTTTAATGAATGCTTTGCCCAACAGTATGACATGTTTTGGCCGCTGATATTTTCAAGATGATTTGTTGAAAGGATATTTTTTGCTTTTCATATCCGTAATTGCCTGTTGGCATGCCTGACCTGCCGTGTTGACACCAGTCATACCTAGCTGCATTTTCACATCTTTTTAATGAGACTGTGCAATTATGTGGACTATAATTGTGCTGTTGGCAAAATAACCTTAACATAAAAAAAAAGTATGAACCACCCAGCAGGTCTGTCAGAAACCAGCTTTCCCATCTCACCCTGCTGTGACCCTGGCTGTGTGAGCGCACAGATTACAGTGTGTGAGAGGAGTAAAATCTCAGGTTTACAGCCAGACACTTGTCATTTTGGCCAGAATAACTTCTATATATCAAATTGAAGCTCTTGATAAAACCAGTTATCCTGTATCAAAACGTAATATCCAGAATCACGACCAAAATGTAATTGGACAATAAAAAGTTGAAGAGGATTTTTGAGATGGAAAGATGAGGCTCTGTTGTACAATTCAAAAGTACTATGTGTGCCTTAAATGTGAATGTACAAAAAGAGCTGAGGAGATATAAGAGACAGACAAACAGAGAGGAGAAATAAGTGTGTGTCAATGCAAGAAAAGTTTATTTAGAAAAACACATCACCTGATCACTGATAGCCCATGATAGTATTGTTTGCCTCTTTCCTATATCAATACAAAAAAAAGAAGCTTTTTGGAAATAGAGTGTCAAGCCATCTTCTGGCCCATGTGGAAGGGGAGAGTGAGAAAACAGGCCTGCATGAGAAGTAATCAACGCAACCCACTATGATAGTGACAGCGGGTTAAGAGAAGGGAATGGGAAAGAAAGCTCTGTTTCTATGCCAGAGAAAATGAAAGCAGCTGGGGGTATGTGCTGTGCGCTCTAGCCAGCCATATATGCTTGTTATCAAGTGTGTTTTTTATGTGTGAGTGTGTGTGTGTGTGAAAGAGTAGGAGATGGGACACAGCAGGAGAGGAATGCGGTCATGGCTGTAAAGTGGGTGTGAAAACAGCCATGTTCACTGACCTCCAAACTGACCTCCCCACCCCTCCTCCCCTGGCAGTTGATAGTGTCCTGTGTGTGTGAGTGTGTGTATGTGTGCGCATTGCATAAAATGTTCGAGAAAATGTGTGCGTACGTGGTAATACTTGCCGGAGTTTGTGTGGTGGTCATGCTGTTTGTGTGTGTGTGGTTGTAGCATGAGTATATGTTGTGATAGCTGTAAGTGAATGACCCTGAGTTTACTATAGTCCAAGGGAGGAGGTCAAGAGGATTATCTTAAAATCTGCCCTTTTACCCCTTCCTCACTCCTTCTGTGTAACCTCTGCTTTTCCTCTCGTCCTGTATCCTTAATGGCAAACAGCACCTGTTGCCACACACACACACACACACACACACACACACACACACACACACACACACACACACACACACACACACACACACACACACACACACTCACACACAATAAATACCTGGACAGATACAGAACATTTTTTAACTTGCCATTAGGGCAGGTCCGTATAAATGTGCCCAAAACGTCCTTCACATTGTATCGTATTAATTCAAGTCACAGTTATTTCCGCTAGGGATTTCCCAGGCCTACTTCTCATTTTCTCAACTTTAATAAATCCTGCTTGTGAGCACTTGTCCGATTTTAGGCGACGACAGACACGGTTCCCCTGGTGCACCCGAACTTGGATTTGTCCCCGGCTGGAGTCAGCTATCCCGCCTGCTCGCCACTGCGGGGCGTCGGGGTGGTGCCTTGAACCCTTTCAGCTCCCCGCAACAGGCTGTCACATCTACCGGAGCGAAGCCTGCATAACCGTCATCTCCCAGCATTACGCCATCACACAGAAGGCTGTGAGGCACCAGCACCCTCCGCCTCTCGGTCTCTTATAAACTATAAACATGTGGGATATAAATATGACCTTTGGGGATTTTAATTCCTCACCATTTATCATGGATAAAACATTTTCTTTTTTGAAAAAAATCTTTGAAAATCTTGGAAAAAATCCTTTTGAATTATTAATATTGTGTGTGGGATGCTTTATCGTTGAGGAATTGACAATCAATATCGTTGGAACGACGAAGAGCCATTTTCAATGTCTGTACAATATATATATACGTATGTATATACAATATGTATATTATTAACGTCCAGTTTCTAATAATCTCATGCCTCTTCCTAGTAATTAAAAAAGCACACTTGAACTGAGTTCAATTGAACAGAGAGCGTAACTGGAGTCCACGGTCTTCTGTGCTCCGCTGCGTCCGTTTGCATGTAATTAAATAGCGCCCTGCGCACTTATCGGTCGCATCTGACAGTGGAGTTTCCAAAAGCTGTCCCTGTCCAGTGCACCTCTTCCCCCGTCCCCTTCCAGCTCTACCTCTCCGTAATTGAATTAGCTCGGTTTTAGGCGGGGGCTGGGCTTTGTTCAAGTGACGCCCATTCAAATAATTTCAAACCAATGGGACTATCCCCCGCTCCGCCGTAACCAAACCCACTCTCAGTCGGCGTCTGGAGCTGCCTGCCTTTGCCCTCACCTTCCTGCTTGTCCCGGCGTCTTAAACCCAAACGCAAAAAGAGGAAGACTACACAGCACGCACATGGGAAAAAGCTATATTTGTTTTTCACCTGCACGTCGCACGATGGCTTATATATGAGGAGGACACTTTGGGATGCGGACATAAACACGCGTCTCCACGGAGAGAAGCGCATGAGAAAATACAACGCTGTCCGTCCTCTCTCCGACACCGAGAAGGACTCCTCCCCACCTCGGTAGTGACACCTCCGGTAAATCGCCGAAAAAAAGACAAGTGACTTTTTTTAGGACCGAGCCTAACATTACCATTGATCTGCCAGTGATTGACTGTATGGCTTTTAAAAGTTGCATGGAGAACATGGACATATGACGTGCGCCACACGGCGTCATTGGACACACATAGGAGCCTCTCTCTCTTTTCTTCATCACATCTTGGAGTGACTAATCCCCTGCGCTTTGGGTTGGGAGTAAGCAGAAGTGTGCAGCAGTTGTCATTTGCCCTGACACAGGCTACATCCAGTAGCTCCCTGCAAAAGGGGAACGTCACCACACCACTGAAGACACAGCCTGTTGTGCTGCGCATTTGTGTGTGCTGATCTCACTGTTTGTGCATTATTGGGAGATTTATTTTGATAGCCCACCACGGACTTGTCAGAGCTGACATCCTGTTTGACATAAAGACTGTCATTCACCCGGACCCTCGACCCGCATCAGAGATACGGCACAGTGACACGTAGGTTTTGTAACTTTACATTTCAAAAAGCCTGAAAAAGTGTCATCTCAAGTGCCCCCTTGAATGATCACATTCTCGATTTTCCCTTTGCCTTTTCTACGTGGTGCGCATTTGTACTTTGTTTTAGCATTCACCAACAGCGCCAGCAACACATGTGAATGAGACTCATCACCTGTCCCGGTTGAAGCGCCCCGTACAACTCGACTGACTGACCGACCGACACTGAAGAGGAATACGTGCCGAAGTTCCGCTGTAGTGATGCTGCAAATGGAACTGGTCATCTTCTTCTGCCTGGTGCTGTTGACGTGTGTATTAAGCCAGGAGCCCAGTTCCAAAGTGGTGGCGGACCGCTATGCCGTCTTCTGGAACCGGACCAACGCCAAGTAAGTGCCCTCACCCGGCAGGTTTTCCGCGGAGAGTCGGCGATGTTCCGTCTCCTCGCATCTGCATGAACCACGGGGTTCTCATGTTTGCTAGACCTCATCTGTGTTTATTCTCCGCAGTGGGGGCATACTGCCAGTAGCTGTATAGGTACATGCTATAGCTAAGGATAGGAGAAAAATAGTGTAAAAGTATACTGTTCCTTATTCTAGTACGTGGCGGCTCGTTATCAGCGCGTCCCTCAGGGTAATATAGAATACACTCGTTCGTATAAGGCCTGGAAATAACATTCATCGCCTGGTGTTGCACCCGCTGTCAATATTTACAAAAGTATATTCACCGAATTAATTTGAGTTATTAGCTTTAGCGTCGTGTTCAGAGCTGTACAATTACCCTGGAGCTTTATCTTGTGTTGTTTCTCTGTCCGGCGGACCCAGGCCGGGCACTTTTTTACACATCGGAGTCATTAGAAACTGAATTTAACTCGTTTTAAAACAAGGCTAAACAACACATAATCAGCACAAAGTTAATTAAATATGGCAATTCATTAACTCATTTCAGACTATTTAGGTATACTGCTTGTTTCAGAAAACTTAAAATCTGTAGGCCAAACGTCTCAGACCCGTGTAGAGGACAGCTTCTGTAATTCTGTGTTTTCTTAGTTCATGTGGCTTCATCAAACTACTGATAGTAAATGTAGTCAGAATATAATGTCAATATTGAAAAACTACTTCACGAAATTCAGTAAAATTGCAATAATGACATTGTTTTTATAAAGCAGTCCCAGAACAACTAATGGTTCTTAAAGGAGTGTTTTATGAATATTATAAAAGCACCATGGCCTACAAATTACACGAAATTACAAACTCGTCTTTGGGTAGGCTGAAGGCACAGTGGAATATTATGAGGATTTTCTTTTTACTAACTATTAGTCATATAAATAGTTCTTGAATCACTTTTTATGGGACCATTTTTTTCTTTGAGCAACATTTTATTCATTTTAGTAAAGTTCAGAAGAGAATATAATCGTTTTGGTGCAGCATTTTTATGGTTGATCAAGGACATTTTGAAGACACTATTATAAAGTAAAAAATTAAAATGGAATATAATTCTGGATCATAAAACCCACTGAAGCTTAAGTTAAACTGTGAGAGGGTTTTATTCCACTAAGTGTAGTCTTGAAACCATATAGACTTTACAATTATAAGCTTTCACTCTGTGTACAAGTGGGCAGCTTCATGAATCTGAAATTAAAGTTTTCCTAAATTAAGCTTCACACATTCATATTTCATTTAGCATTTTGTTACTAATTCATTTCCAGAGACACACACAAGTCATATCCTGACCTATTGTGTCAAAAAACACCAAAATACCAATCATTTAAATATTCTTACTTTTTACAGAAATAAAAGTGCATCCCTTTTACTTTTTATTTGTATGAATAAAAAGTGTGCGCTGAACTTTTTTAGTACAATCTCAGCACTGTTCGTAGTGAAGTGGGGATTTGACATGCTGTGGACTTAGACGGGCCACTCAAGAGGACGTTAAGAGTTGAAATAAAAGTTCCTCAGTTCCTCTGCTAGGACAGGCTGGAGTCCGCCTCAGTGTTTAGTGAACATGTTTGTCGCAGCGGCATTACCTTCTCAAAGTCCCTGATAGAGTCAGACTGTTCAGCCTTGTCCCCGGTTTATTAAGTCTAAACACTGCTGCTGGAGGTTACAAAGATCTTTCACTCAACTGCCAACAGCACTTAGTATTTGTTGAATAAAATCCTCAGCTTAGCCTCCAAGTGTGCACAAAGCCATTAATAGCACATGCTGAATTTGTTGCACAACTATTTATATTCAGTTGGAAGTTTCGGAAAACATGATTTATTGCTTGAAGCAATTAGTGGTCAGAGGTACAAACGGAGGGCTGACTGTAAGCCCTCTCCTGAAGTTGGGGCCAGTGTAGCGGGGTGCGTAGATTCTCGGCCTGATATACCGTACACCATGACTGCTGTGGTTCAGGTCTTTATTCTGGCTTACCCCGGCTGTTTATTTATAGACCACTTTCTTCAATAGAGGCAAACACAATTTTGCGTTTAATTTAGATTCCGGCTGTTGATAGACACACTTTCATTAGACACTACATTTTTCTTTAAACAAAAAAGTTTTGACTCGACCGGCTGCTCACTTGATATCTTCCAGATGTGCTGACAAGTTTTCTCAGCTTCAATGAAGGAAAAAAGGGTAGTAAGAAAAAAAAGGGAAATGTTAGTAAATCTGTTAATCTCAGATATGACAAACTAACACTAGAAGAGAGAGTAGAGCAAACATCAACTTTGTGATTCACTTGGCTGCATGCACGTTGTGTCTCTTACTCTCTTTGCGTCCCAAGTCAAATCTGAGAAACAGATCGTTTCCTGAGCCTCATCCATTTCTGAAGCCCTGACTGCCCGAGGAAAGGAAACAGGTTTTCACAGAGGCTGTAGTGCTGCTAACACCAGTCACTCCGTTCTACTTACTCTAAATAGACTTTGTTTGACTCTCACCCCTGCAGTCCTGAGGCAGGAAGCCAGGAAAGTAACACAACAGCAGGGAGGAGACGGAGAGAGTGAGAGATAGCAAACTTGTCTTATTGATGACTCAGTTAATACATATTGAGTCCCTTTCCTCATGCATTACTGTAAGGAGCTGGTGTGGCACTGCAACGTAACTTGCCCACGTCTGCCTTTGTTCTTAGGCTTCACAGTCACTCCGAAAGTTGGGCTGCTCCAAGTATTTACTGTGTTAACGCCCCAATGCACGCACACAGGCACATTGTCATAGTTTGTCATTCATTATTTATAAATACTAATGGCATAGCGTTTTATTTCTAGTTTGACTGGCTCATTACATTCTTTCTCGTTGGTATCTAAACACAGTTCGGAGATCATTTTACTACTGCCAGCAAAAGCCATTTGTCGCCCTTCAATTTTCTGCATCTTTCACAACTGCAGCTTCGGCAGGCTTTACAATTGCTTTAGCTAGAATATCCATCAAGCTAAAGCTGTTGTTTTAGTTTAGGTTTTGTCACAAAAATCAGTTTTCTTTGAAACCATTATGCTAAGTCGGATATTTTACATCAGTGCTTGCAATACGTTATGCACTGCTTACTAACTTAATCACCTGAAATTCAGAGAGAGAAATTAAAACCTAATTATGAAAATAGTTACTAATGCAGCTTTACTCACAAACTTTGTTTTCCTATATTTAATTTAAATAAAAAAATCATTTTTAATTATAGAATTTAAATTGCAAAATGATTGAAGAAAGTAAGCTTAACCAGACAAAAGTAGTTGATTGAGTCAATGGTAGACAGAACCCACTGGTGAAGCCACTTTTACAGCTTTAGATCATCAGTAGCATTGAACGGGGAAGTCTGCCTTTAAACCTTTTGTAGCAACATTGTTTTTGCAGGTAAGACCTTCTTTTATTGGTTTTTCCAGTGGTCAGAATTACAAGCAAACTGGTAGATTAGTGTTGAATATTTTGTTTACTCAGTGTATCGTAATTTGCGTTAGCGGTGCAACGCTTCTGTTGCTGGGTCATTTGGGTCCGGGGCTGAGGGGATTTCCATTTTGTCCTATTGGCTTCAGTCCACTGTTTTGTCACAACTTTAGCATGAGACCAGAAACTATATTCATTTTAGGTTTTGCCCATCAAAAAAAGTTATTTTGAGGGAAACTTTAGAGAAGTCCTGGACTTCTAGAAGTTTTTATCAGTCCTTATTCCTACAGCTTGAAACTATTTAAAGTGCATGGACATTTCTCCGTGGATCCTGCCCTCTGCTTTCTCAATGACTCTTCGCCTTTGAGTATGTATTCTACTATGTGGGGGCAGCTAGTTTCTCTAATGATGTCTCAGCTGTAATGCCAAGAGATGGTCCTTCCTTTTCTCCTCTTCTGCCCTTACTTTTTCCCATATCCCGCGTTGCCTCTTCTTCCATGTGGCCTCTCAGCGCTCAGCCTCTCCCGGTCTCTTTCTCCCTCCCTCCCTCTTTCTTTCTGTCTGTCTCTCTTTGCCGGGCGCAGAAAATGAATGAATACAATTAAATACTTCGGGAGTCCCTCCACGGTTGATGGTGGAGAAAGACGCGCAGAGGTCAGGCAGACTCAGAGAGGATCTCAGGGAGGGGTCACACACATATACCGAATAACGACACGGAATAACGACACGGAATAACGACACGGAAAGTTGGTTCTTTGAATGACAAACTAGTAACTAGAACTCTCCTTGAAGTGCAGAGTGTTATTAACATTTACAGTCCAGTGCGGTTGTGGTCATGCTAATCGCTCAATGTAATTTGTATTTTAGTGCATCATTTGTAGCTCATCAAACAGCCTGGAAAACATTTTTCTAACGTGCTGCCTTTCGTTGTATTTTTTACGTTTTTATTCTTACAATGTACTGTAACTGGAGGCCTACGTACTCTATTTGTATCGCTGGTATCAATGGCAACTTTCCTTTGTTGCAGTTATGTCTGGCTCAGCTTTGTCTGTGCATGTGAATGTTTTTTTGATTTAGTGTGTGTGTGTGTGTGGGTGTGTGGATGCGTGCATGTGCATGCAACGTACTAAATGAGCCATGAGGTCATATAGGGCTTGTTTCCTCTCCTTCAGACTTCAGATACCAGAATAATTACATCTTTCTCCCTTGGTCTTCTCATTACCTGTCACACACCATTGGGACATGAATAGCGTCAATCTGTGCTTGCCTGTGTCTGTACGCGGGAGCGAATGCTGACTCTAACAAAGGCTTGTATGCGTGGTGGTGGAAAGGTAGTCAATATACCCATCTGTCTCTAACAGATATGGAAATGATATATTAAATGAACACTTTTTGATAATTACATTTCTGAAACCTGGGATTTTTAAGATCAAGTTTAAGTTGCCTTTGTGGGTCGTTTTGGACCGCATGCTAGGTTTTCCTGTCCCCCTTTGCCTCGCTCGGAGCTGTGTCTTACTCATTCCTCTCTTCTG